AGAGATCCTTTTTTTTAATTTGGCAGAGCTCGATAATTCCAGCGAGCTCCGGCGAAAGAAGCCTAGCTTGAGCATTCCCAGCGCTTGTTTGAGCGAACGAATTGATCAATTGCTAGGGAAACATAGAACGAGCTCCACATTCTGTCTCTCATAGCACAGATTGAGAATCACATCCGCTGCGGTCGCTGCTGGCAACGTTACCTTGGCGGCGGCGATTCTGGTAAGCAAACCTTTCTTCTCTAATGTCTCAGTAGTGACATTAGCTGACATCCGCACGGAAGAAGCCAACGCTGCGGGAGCGCGACAGAGCATCTGTTTCCACCCGACCAGATCTCTTGAGTAGAACTTTCAAGGTTCCTCCTTTAAAACTCTACCTAAGCGTCCCATGTGAGAGCCCCAGCAGCGGGTTCCACAACTTATGCTCCGCGAAAGCCATTTCTTAAGATCATTTCTTAAGAGTTGGATCATACTCGAAATCTCTCTGAGATGTTTTGAAAACGTCTGGAGAGAATGAATTGTTACGCGCTAAAGCTGATAAGAACAGGGCGCAAGCATTTATGTAGGAATGACTCTGATCGTTGACATTGCATCAGCTGATGGTTTTGTTCTCGCGCTTGAAGCTCAAATTTTTTACGTTTTGGCGCGGTCAACGAGAGTCTGACTGGCAAGACTGCCGAGCCTACCCAGCTTTGGCAAGATATCCCCAAATGGCCTTGCCGGACCTCCCCGGTGTGGTAGGTCCGTGACCGAGCCTGCGTGCCTTGCAGAAAGAAGCACACACTTAAACACTCTATAGCTCGAACACTCCTTGTTTTGCAAGCTCGTGGCTATGGCGGATCCATGGACGCGAGCGCTATCGAGCAGGGGCGCCTAAAGATCTCGGTTCCAAGGTCAGTGCTCTTCCTGCCCCCTGCATTCTCTCTCGGCAGAGGTGATTGCGCAGCTCAGGGTTTTGTGCGAGTCCTAGGAGGATTTTCGCGTGCCACTGCAATGACGAGGGCTTTCATCTGCAGGATAGGCGGATTCTATTGCCGGAGTCCTTCGAAAGAGGGGAGGCGCAATGGCGCAAAGTAACTGGGAAGCCGATAAGATGTAAGCGTTTGGATTTCTTTTTGTCCTTCTCGTTGTTTGAGTAAGATTGGGATTGGCAGGCTCGATGTTTATATACACGACTATCTTGTGAAGAAAAACCTCCAGGCCTCTGCCAAGGCCTTTCAGACAGAGGGCAAAGTTTCTGGCGATCCTGTCGGTAAGAGCTCCTCTCCGTAGAGATTCTTGTCCTCATAGGAGTTCCATTGCTCCTTTTTTTCCCTTTTTTTTTCGATGCAGCGATTGATGCTCCTGGTGGTTTTTTGTTCGAGTGGTGGTCCGTGTTCTGGGACATTTTCATTGCTCGTACGAATGAAAAGCACTCAGAGGTGGCTGCTTCATATATCGAGGTAAGCTTTTCCTCTTCCTATTCATTTTTCTTATTCATCACCCCTTGTGCTACAGACTCAGCAACTCAAGGCGAGAGAACAACAGCAGCAACACCAGCATCTTCAGCACCAGCAGCAACAGCAGCAAATTCAGCAGCAGCAGCACCAGCAGCAGCACCAACAACAATTACAACAAAGTCAGCAGCAGCAGCAACAGCAGCAGCAGTTGCAGCAAAGTCAGCAGCAGCAGCAGCAGCAACAACAACAGCTGCAGCAAAACCAGCAGCAACACCAGCAACAGCAGCAGCACCAGCAGCAGCAGCAACACCAGCAGCAACTTCACATGCAGCAGATTCAACTCCTCCAGCGTCAAGCCCAGCAGCAGCAGCAACCTCGGAGGGATCTGGCCATAAACGCTGCTGCAAACGGCATGGGTGGTGATTCACTCCCCCCAACTGCGAATGCAATGGCAACCAAAATCTACGAGGAGCGTCTCAAGCATCCACACCAACGTGACACTCTCGAAGATATTAAGGTCTGTTCAGTTGCCGTGACCCAAGGGACGCATTCTGACTGGGGGTCTTTGCAGAGATACGGAGAGCCTCCGGGACAGCTTTTGGATCCAAGCCCGACAAGTCTGCTTAAAGGAGCGCCGACTCCTGGCCAGCCGTCTGGGTAAATGATCTTTTTTCTTTGATGTCATTACGTTTTCAAACTCTGGAAATGGACAGGCCTTTACTTCCAGCTAGTGCTGCTGGATTGCAACAAGTTCAGAACAGGCCTCAGCTCTCTGGAGTCTCTCAGGTACGTGTTCTGGTCTTCTAGTCTCTGTCCGGCTCATTCGTTTTTTACACAAAACAGGACAGCAAGAGCGACGGCAACGTAGTTTTGAATCAAAGATCACCTGCACCGGATCCTTCCATGTTTGGGCATGCCAAGCCAAACCTTCTTAGTCCAGGTATGCTCTTGACTTTAAGAGTGCGCTTGAGTTGACGTTTTAACTATCGGCAGGAGTCAATCAAGGAGGAAATGCAATGTCATTGAAAGGCTGGTCATTAGCTGTAAGTGCAATCGACACGGAAGTATTTGTTGTTTGACGTTGGTGTCTTGCGCTGCTCAGGGAATGGATCAGCTTCGCCCGACGCTAGTGCAAAATCAGAAGCCGTCTTTGCAGGCTTCTCAAGCATATCATATACTGAGTCCTCAGCACCAGCACTTACTGCTTCAGGCTCAGGCGCAAGGAAGCTTGCCTTCGTCCAATTCCGCTCTCCTTGGTGACGTAGACGGGAGAAGGTTTCGCATGCTTCTCAGTCGGAATCAAAACCAAATGGGCAAAGATGGTCAAGCTGGTCTCAGCGAGGTCGGATCACCTATGCAGGCTGCAACACTCCTGCCTCGTGGTAATCCACAGGATCAGGGGGAGATGCTGATGAAGGTACTATCTTCATTTTTCACTCATGGAGCTTGAAGTGTTTCTTTTCATTTTTTGGCAGATGAAAATGGCCCAGTCGCAGCAAGCTCAAAGTGGCCAACAGCCACAGCCACCACAGTCTTCTCAACAAGGGCAGCAAGCGCAGCAGCAACCGGCAACGCCACAACAGCAGCAGCAGCAGCAGCAACAACTACAACAAGAGAGAATGGGTGTTGTTGGAGTTGATGGTGCGCTGTCCAACTCCTTTAGGGGAACCGGCGACCAGGTTTATAGCGGCATGGAGCCGAGTCCCAGTACGAATAGCACAGGGACTGGAAAGGTGAAAGTGAGATATAATTTGTAGCGTCAACGTTCTTACGTTTCTTCGTTTTATTTCCTTTTCGTCTACAGGTTGCTGCTAAAGGTCCCAGTGGCCGAAAACGGAAGCAACCGGCGTCATCCTCTGGTCCAGCTAATAGTACGGGTACAGCGAACACGGCGGGTCCGAATTCCCCATCGTCTCCATCAACACATACGCCTGGCGATGTCATTTCCATGGCGGGAGCTTTACAACAAAATGGAAACATCTCCAAGTCGCTTATGATGTACGGGTCAGATGGAGCTGGGACGCTTGCTTCGCCTACAAACCAGCTGGTAAGAACTATATGCTGTAAGCTGCAATAGGATGGTTTTTTCCTGATTTTCTCTGTAATGGCTTTTTTGTCAAGGGTCTGAGTGGTGGAAATTGAAGTTGCAGGCTGATATTGACCGCTTCGGCGAAGATCCGTCGCTGGATGATAACGTCGAGTCCTTTTTATCGCACGACGACGCAGATCATCGCGATGGCTTGTTTGGAAGCAGCAAACAGAGCCCTGCCATGGATGTGAGCAAAGGCACATATCTATTTCGATAAATGCATTTCGATAGAATTTCTCCTCTTACTGTTGGTTTGAATTCATTGACCAGGTTTTCTTAGCGAAGTAGGTTGCTTGCGAGCAAGTACGAGCAAGGTTGTCTGTTGCCATTTCTCGTCCGACGGGAAACTTCTTGCAAGCGCCGGACACGATAAAAAGGTCTGGAAAAAAATGTGTTTTTAAGTCAATGCCGTATGCTAATTGTTCTCTTGGCAGGCTGTTCTCTGGAATATGGACACTCTAAAGCTCAAGAGTACCCTCGAGGAGCACACCTTTCTTATTACTGACGTAAGGTTCAGTCCAAACTCCACGCGCCTGGCGACCTCGTCATTTGATAAGACCGTGAGAGTGTGGGATGCAGACAATGTAAGTCTTGAGCTTGAGTTCCCGCCAACCGAATCATGCGGACTAATTCTTGTCCAACTCTCGTGTAGCCGAGCTATTCCTTGAGAACGTTCACCGGCCATCAGACGTCGGTTATGTCGCTTGACTTCCATCCCGTGAACGAGGACCTGCTGTGTTCTTGCGACGGAGATAGCGAGATACGCTACTGGAGTGTGAGCCAAGGCGTTTGCACCAGAGTCTTCAAGGTTTGTCTGTCTCTTTGCGAAGCACGGTGCTGATGCGTGATAAGTTGCAGGGTGGTATGGCGCAGACGAGGTTCCAGCCAAGAGTCGGAAGGTTATTGGCGGCAGCTGCCGAGAATGTGGTCTCTATTTTTGATGTGGATACCGAGACTTGTGTACATTCCTTACAGGTAGGCACGTCTTCTGTGGTAATCTTTGCTCAAATCTTTTTCTTTTCTGGCAGCGACACACGAAGCCGGTACACTCGGTGTGCTGGGACGCTACTGGCGACTACGTCGCTTCGGTCAGTGAAGATTCGGTTCGAGTATGGGCACTAAATGGAAGCGATGGCGATTGCATCCACGAGCTGAACTGCAACGGGAACAAGTTCCACTCTTGTGTGTTCCACCCCAAGTTACCGACTTTGCTGGTCATCGGTTGCTATCAAGTACGGCAGTTTAAAGTTTATTTTTTTCCTCGTTTTGTGTGTGTCTTGATGTTCATGGTTCTTCTACTTGCAGTCGCTTGAGCTCTGGAACATGCAAGAGAACAAGACCATGACTATACCCGCTCATGACGGCCTGATCGCGGCCTTGGCACAATCTCCAGCGACTGGCATGGTTGCGTCGGCGAGCCATGACAAGTGTGTCAGGCTGTGGAAGTAGAATGAGAGAGCCAGAGACAACATGAATAGCTACAGGGATTCACAAGAATCTCAAAGCTGTTTATAGAGAAGCACAGATTTGTGACAACAGGTATGAATTCCACAGATTTATATTTCCTATTTCACGGTGGTGTCAGTTGTTTACACGACAACGAGAAAAGCAAACCAGTTTACAGGAGAAGGCGGGGGCGAGTTTTCGGCTCCTGCTTGCTGCTCCTACTTTGCGAGTTCCACGTACTGTGGAGCTTCCTTGAACAGCTTTTCGGACGCTGTCCTGCAGGCGGGGATCCCAGTGGGTATCTCTTTGAGCTCTTTGAGAAGATCCATCACTTTTCCCGACGCTGTTCTAAAGGCAGCGCTTCCGGTGAGGGACTGCTGCCGTAGCGGTGGGATTCTGAGGTCGATCGCCTCGGTACTGCTCTCTTTCACGTCGATGATGTGCTGCTTTCCCTCCGGTTTACTGCTCTCTTCCTTCTTCTGCCTTAATATCTTGCAGACGATGTAGAGAACTATTTGGCCGACAGCACACACGGAACCGGCGACGCTTGGGATCTGTCAAGCGAGAGAGAGAGAGAGAGAGAGAGATCAAGATGGTGTAAGAGTAGGATCTTTCGTTTTCTTCTTTTGGTTTGATCGAGAACTTACTCCTATGAAGATGTCTTTGGTGAAGAAGGCGAATCCAGACCAGAGGATCCCGTTGATGAGGAGGAAGATGGTGAGTGTGAGGGGCATTGCTTCCACATTCTTGGTGCGAATCACAGTTCTCTAGACAAGGAGAATTTTTGAAAGCTGTCAGTCGGGAATGTTGGATGGGTGCGAGCTTTTAGCTTTTTTATTTGAAAGCTTTTTTCGTACCATGACCGAGAGAGGCGACGCGTACATGGCAATGGCAATGGCCGACGCGACACTCCCGATGACGATGATTCGGAGTTTCCCGCGTGTTGCAAAGAGGGTGATGAGAATCAAGCTGCTCAAGATGAAAAGCTCCACACCCAACAGCTTCCAAATCTTCCGCTGCAAACAAAGATCTCCATTTCTTAGCATCTGGGAAGAGTGACGAAACTCTCGACGAACTTGAATAAGGGAATAGAGAAACTCTTGGAAGAACTGAGAGATTCTTTGGAAGAACTCAAAGGAAACGACGGGGTTCGATAGAGAGGAACACTGGAAAGCTTGCGAAGAACTCTCAAGAACCAAGCAAAGTTTGTGAGAGCTTGTGGTGTACCCTGCTGGCTTTGGAGGCGTATTTGTAGAAGATGATGATATAGGCGAGCTCGAAGACGCATCCAACGCAGTTAACGGTCACGATGAGCAATCCCCCGCCGCTCTTCATCATTCCATAGTAGAGCCCCAGTGCCGCCGTCAAGAGCGTGAGGACGTATGGAACCACGGAGAACATCTCGGTGGATTTCTTCCGGGAGATGATGCTAAAGGTTGGTCTGCGACAAAGATCTCACGAAAGAGTTAGAACTTGGAAAGAATGAAAAGCTTGTGGGTATGAGAACTTACATTGGCGATGCATATACGGCAATCGCAGTCGCATTTCCTGTCAGTAAAGAAAACGAACGAGTCAGCCGAGGCGAGACTTGGTCTATCTATTCTTTAAGAAAAACAATGCGAGAAGAACAAGAACATACCGACAAGTCCCAGGATGAAAATCTTATCAGCGGGCATTTTTGATCTCAAGGCCAAGCAGCAAAATCAAGCCAAAAGGAGAAATAAAACAAGGAATTTATTGGTCCTTTTCTCCCTTTCTTGCCTCCGAGACTTCTTCACTCGTTTTGAACTTTTGGGATGAGCGTTGCTGCCGAGGTTTTATATACGAAAGCCATGACAGCACAACATTCTCACTTATCAGGAAACTATATAAATGATTAGATAGTGGAGGAGTTTAAGCTAACTCGCGATTCGGCTTAGCAGATTATCTTCTAATTCATGTCTTGGTCCCTCGGGACAGCGGTGACATCCACTCTGGATATTTTGATACAGAAAGGTGGTGGTATTTTTATGTGAGAGAACCGGAGCAAAGATCTTCAGTCTGTGGGCGAGTGACACATGGTCACACACTTGGAAGGGAATTTGGGGGTTTTTGCAGAGCACCACCAAGGTTCTGGCGGGGGAGTGTTGTGATTTGGAAGATTCTGGCTTTGATTCGCTTGGAGTGTTCTTGGCCGGTCGGTCAAATTGTGTGAGGGGTCACTGCATGTGATGCTCTCCATGGCGAATGAGCAGCCGACTTATGTGCCAAGAATATTGAATATTTATATAGATCTATCACCTTTCTGTAACTCTTTGCTTTTCCTGATTGTGTTGCAGCTTTATAATAATGACGGTAATAATTAATAGTAATTATAGTAATGATATTGTCCCACTCACTCCAAAAAAACAAATTTTTGGGCTCTCATGGGATACAACTATCGTGCCGTGGCGTGGATGGATTGCTTTCTGTCCGTGTGATATCAAACTCCTCCATGGAAATTTGCGGTAAACAGGCAAGGAAATCTGCGCTTTTTAGAGCAATGATTGGAATTCTTTGCATATCAATCTATCAGATATCTCGAACAATGTGGGGTCTCGAGTCACAACTTAGACTACAATGATTTGAGATGGGCGAGTTTATCGCACAGATTTTCAAAGCTTTCAAATATAATAGCGTTGATGCCCAATGACTTTGCAGCTTCAACGTTCCTCCTCCTGGAAAATAAATGTGGTTTCCACTTTTGAGCTTAGAAATCTCTTACTGATCATCAACAAATGTGCAATCTGATGAATCCACTTGCAGTTGTTGCAAAACGTCCAAATAGGCATTAATTTCAGGCTTTCGCTTGCCTGCATAAATTGCTACTTATTTGTTATTTGTTACAAAATTACTTGGAGAGAAAATCGAACCTGTGTGGCACGAGACAAACGTCCATTCCAGGTAGCGAGAGAGCTGAAGCTTGTCTTCAATCAGCATATACCTGAAAAAAATCACATCAATTGATAACTCATACTTCATATATTTACCAGTCTGGATAGTTTGTGAAGGCATGCATTTCAAAGCCCGAGGATTTCAAGCTACAAAGAAGCTCTTCCATCCCTTCGATGAATTCATAGCCAGCCACCATGCAACTCTTGAGTCCTGACCAATCCCGCAAATTCGTGAGAGCTCTAGAGCAAAAAATGGAGAGACAAAACCTTGAAGATCAAAGTCCCTGCCATCGTTAAAAAATCGGTGCTTGAGCTGTTCCTGTGTAAAAGTGCTCAAGCAAGAAAAACGATAGAAAGCAAGCCACACCTCTGTGATCAATCCTTTCTCGAACTCAATCCACGCAGTTGGGTGTTTGATCTCCAGAAGCTCCTTCATAGAAAGCCTGGGGAATAGACACACAATTCAAGGAGGTGCTTCTTGTGGAAGAGATTTTACCCAAAGAATGCTGGAACATCCTTGTAGAATGGATCGCGCACGATGGTGCCCATGACATCAAACAAAAGCACGGGCAACTTCCTTACAATGTTACTCCTGGCCAGATTTCCTCCCATTGAGAGCGTGGAAGAAGAGCTCATGGGCCGTGTTCTTGCTACCGGGGCCAATCTCCCACCACAGCCTATGGCATCTAGAGCTGGACTTCTAAGCATAGCTCTAGCCCTACCAATCAAGATCCTTATTATTTTTGTCGCAGATGATAGAATTTTCTTTCCTTTAGCAATTATATTGGGGTAAAATAAATTTGAATAGTATTTGATTTAATTAGTTAGATATTGGTTAGCTTGAGAAACCTGTTGATCTGTCAGTTTGATCTAGCCTACCTTGACTAAGCAATCCTTATCCAATAGAAGGGCAGGATGTAAACAAATAAGACACCCTTCTTGTCTCCCATGCATATTCCTTGCAAGGAAATTAGATAATTTCTTCCTGCCTTCAACACACCCTTATATGGAAGAGAGATGAACAGAACGTCTACTTTCCCATGCTTCCTTTGAAAATGCCGCTACAGAAGGCAATGTGAATTAAAAAACTGGCCAACAATAAGTCAACACATAGGCTTTAGCTTGTTTGCAGTCCCTGAGATCTCACAGGGCAAAACAATTACCACAGTGGGTGTCTATTTCAGAATATAATACATAAGTACACATTATATTATAGTAAATAGCATTTCAAATTGCAAAATAAATTTACTATTGTAAGTCTAGTGGACCTCTGAAGTTTAAATCTTTATCATTTAAATTTTAAATCAAAAAATATAAAAGAGATGTAACGCTTTTAGTTTATCCAAAGCATTTCAACTTTAACAATATAAGAACCCAATGAATTTTTGGTCTAAGTAGCGTGAAAAGTAGAGCCTGTATAAAATTAATATATTTTTGAGTAAGATTTATTCTCATAATTATAAGATAAAAAAATAAAAATAACTTTACCAATATTCTGCCAGATTTGCAACTTGGAAAACAAACTAAAATTTTGTTCTTTTGAGTTAAATAAAATATGTTTCAGCATAATTTCTCTTGTGTGTAGCCTATTTCATGAGACTGCTTTCAAGGTTTTTTTCAATTGTTTCAAGTTCCTATCTATGACTTTTAACTTTCATGAGAAAATAATACTACCACCTTGTCATGGCTTTAAATTTAACTAGAAACATGCTTTTTATTTCCCCAAAGCTTTAGAATGGAGGTAAATTAATAAAATTTTAATCCAGATCTTTGTATTAAGCTATTATGTTGATCTCCATATACAAGTTTGAGAGATAGTATTATATACAACTGCATAGCCAGTATTCTCAACACAAAGTGCATAAGAAACCCAAACATTCTTGTGATATATATTATAGGACCAAATAATACTATTATTCATGTCATATATCACAAGATTTCCATCTTTTTGTAATCTAAGGAAACATCGCTCACCTTTATTATTAGTTTTAGTGTCCCAAATTACAATTTTTTTATAATAAAGTACTAAATTACAATCAAGTTGCATATACAAATTATATAACTGATTTGGAGATTGAAGAAAAGCCCCATTTTTTAATTTTGAAAAGCTGGAATACTGTGGTCCACTTTTTATACAAGTATTATAAAAATTACAGTCTTGCTCATGTTTATTGTTTACTGACATAAAATAGTTTTGCTGCAAAGGAAATGTGTAATCTTCATCTATGACATAAGATATAGAAAATCTATAATATATGTATTCTGCAAAGCCATAAGTTACTAGATCATTTAAAACATAATTTTTCAAGAGAAACATAAATTCAGATTCTAAATATGATCCTGTATTATACAAACGCAGATTCGGAATTATAGTACAAGTTATGACATATGTCTTAAAAGTATGATATACATCAAGAGCTGCTATTGTTATTAATAAGGAGCTATAATCTTCATATATTACTTTAGAGTAAGAAAATCCTATGAACGATTCATCCCGTTTTCCAACTTCCTTTATAAGTTCTAGAATAATTGGTATAATGATTTTTTGTCTATAACTAATTGTAATAGCATTTGGGTATTCATAGTTTTTAATTAAGCAGTAACACTGTAAGCATAAAGATAAAAACAAAACAAATATCATGAAGTACTAAATTAACATCATCTTGTTCTATCATCTATTTAATAAGAATTACTCTCTTTTATTAATGCTGTTACAAATTTAAGACCTAACTTTAACTATAATTTAAAAATAGCTAGTTTCAAACTTTATCTAATAATTTTATACTTTTCCAAGTATATTTTGTGTATATTATTACTTTTCACCAAAAAAAATTTCTACTAATAGATAACGTAGCTTTTTCTTTATTTAAAAAGTAATACTCTCTCATCAGTATTGTCAGTTTTTATATTTTACTCTATATTTTATATTTTATATTCTAAATAAATAACTGTATTCTTTATTCATTTTACATGGCCCATCCTAAAAGTTGAAAATTAGAACTTTATATTTTATAAAATTTTCAAGAGTTGTTAAGAACTCAAACTTTGATTATAGTGGAATTAACTGAGAACTTAGTATACTTCAAGTATTATCAAATAGATGAGTATAGTTAGACTTTCTTTAATTTGTAAGTCTTTTTTACACTAGATACTTTCTAATTATAGACATAAAGTTAAGTTTATGTTGTTATGGTATGTATGTATGACCTGTTTTAGATCTTATAGTGCCCATCTGAGATAAGCCACTTTTTTAAAGAGTTTTTATGCTAGAAATATTTTCTTATTTATATTTTTTTTAAATGTAATTTTTAAATTATTAATTATAAATAAATGCTATTAAAATGAAGATAACTGTTTATAAGATTTTAATTCTAAAGTGATACATATATACTACTACTAATAATAATAAAAAAACTTTTAATGTTTTGATTTGTATCATTTGTATAATACAGGGATATATTAATCTGAATTCACAATTCTTTTAACAATTATATTATTTGGTAGCTTATGCGTTTCAAAATAAACATACTATATATATCTTATACCATAGATATATGTGATAGAAATAAAGTGCAAATTATATATTTATTATAATTTATTTAAAGCTCTCTCTAAAACAAGATGCTCCAAGGAAACACCTCCATTCTAAAGCCTGGGGAATAAAAGGCATGTTGGTAATTAAATCTTTAGCCATGACAAGATGGCTAGATCGACCCAGCAAATCAATTGCACAACAGTAATGTTGGCTTGTGGGTTGAATGCCGAAGTCAAAACTCATAGACAGAAATCTAGCTCTCCCTTGAAACAATTTTCCAGCATGGCTAGAGGCAAGAAAAATTATGCTGAAGCATATTTCATCTGGCTCCTCAGTCAGGCATAAAGAACCAAAACTATACAAAACATTATCAAACTGTCCGGCTTGGGCATATGTTGCAAGAAGCGTGTTCCAAGAAACTACATCTTTATCTAGCATTTGATTAAAATAATTCTTACAGTGCTCAACTTGAAATATTCTGGAATAAACAAAAAGCATTACATTACAAGTGACAAGATCTCTTTCGGGACTTCCGTTGAACAAATGAAAGGCCTCCTCCCAGTAGCCATTCTGGGCATATCCAGAGAGCATACAATTAAAAGAAGAAATGTTCCACTCTGGCATTGTGTCAAAAGTTTTTCTTGCTTGATCAATGTAGCCATTATGTGAGTAAGTGGAAAGCAATGTATTGAAGAGCAAAAGGCTCTTGTGTGGAGTTTGATCAAACACGAGCTTTGCCAGCTCCAGGTTTTGATGGATCGAGCACGCACTGATCATTGCAGCAGCGGAGGCTAAGTCATGCTGAGGTGACGAATCAAACAACCGCTTCGATCGCCCAAGATCCTTCTCATGGCTGAGCATCATAGTGATCGAAACTAAGCTCTTTCCTGGCATTGACTCAAAAAATTCTCTAGTCCCCTCAGATCTCTCTCCCTGGACAAGAGCGGCCAGCATTGTATTGAGAGAAACAAGGCTATGGAACGGCATCTCACGGAAAATCTTGCAAACAAATTCTAGATATCCCTTTTGGGCATATGCAGTAAGAAGCGTGTTCCATGACACGACATCAACCTCAGGCATTGATTCGAACAATTCTTTTGCTTCTTCAATGCGGCCGTAAGCGGCATGGGCGTTTAGGATTACATTCCACGTAACGAGCGTCCACTCTGGCATTGCAAAGAACATGTCCCTAGATAAGAACAAATGCCCCTTTTCGGCAAGTGCCTTTAGAACAGTTGTCATTGACACAAGATCTCTTTCTGGCATGTTTTGGAAGAAATCTCTAACTTGGCTCAAGCTACTGTTCTTGCAAAATGCAGCCAGAAGCGAGTTCCAAGATACCAGATCCCACTCGGGCATCTGGCGGAAGAAATCAAAGGCCTGATGGAACTCCCCGGCCTGGACATGGGCCGCTAGCATAGCGTTCCACGACACAATACTGCGCTGCGGCATCCTGAGAAATATGACCTTGGCGCTGCTGGAATTCCTGCTAGAGGCCATGGCGGAAAGAATGGTGTTCCAGGCAAGAAGATTGGGAGCGGGCATTTGCTCAAAGAGGAGCTGAGCGTCGCGAACTCGCCCATCGCGAGCGCGTGAGGAGATTTTTCGCACCCAAGCAGAAGAATCGTCAATTGTCCCGGTCGAGCAAAAGCCTTCCATGAAAGCTTACGGTCTCTTTAGTAAAGGGATAGAATGTGGACAACAATGGCGCCGCAAGCAAAACTCTTGGCTTCTTTCCTATCTGTTCTCACAGAGATTAAGATGCTTACATCAAAACGGTGCTCGGATCCACTGTGCGCGAACATCTCGAGAGTGGTCGCAAGCCGGACAGTGGTCTGAACAGCGATGCGATGTTTTTCGTCCATTTGCTAGAATAGAGCACGGAACCCTAAAATTCAAATGGGCATATCCGAGGACCTTGGATCTAATGCCTTTGATCTCATGAACATGCAGTGGTAAGATGCGAGAGATTTCATGAAAGATTTGGTGTGTCGAATCTATGTGACCTTTTGTAACCAAGCATCTTTTTAATGAAGTTATTTCTACTGTTGCTAAACTTAAATCCTATTTAAAGATTAAATATAAAACTTTAGTTATAATTTATTTGGTGATTAAATCTTGACCTTGATAGTGCTTATCCATTCCATCTGGCTAAAACCAAATATGTCCAACTTGAAATATTCTTGGACAACCAGCATGTAATGTCATCAATAGCTTCCTACAATTAAACTCTTGACAATGTTATCCTTGAATAAGTAGAAAGCAGGGCATTGAAGAGCAAAGGCCCTTGTGTGTCAAACACGCAGCTTCAAGTGGATAGAGCACTCACTGAACATTGCATGCTGAGGAGACTAATCAAACAACAAGCTTTGATTGCCCAAGATCATTTTCATGAGCGGGCATTACGAAACATGCAGATATCCCTTTTTCTTATGCAGCGAGTTGCGTGTTCCATGACCTCTAGCATCAAAGTCAAACACTTGCTTTGCTTCTTCTACGGGACAGTAAGCCGTGCATTTAAGATTATGTTCCACGTAGTGAGCGTTCACTCTTCTCTGGCATTGTAAAGAACATCTCCCGAGATAAACCAAATGCCCTCTTTCGGCAAGTGCCTAAGAACAGTTACAAGATCCCTCTCTCGCATGTTTTGGAAGAACATTATAGGGTTCCACGATACCACATCCCACTGGTGGAAGAAATCATAGGCTTGATGGAATCCCCTGGCCTGAAAGACACAATACTGCACTGCGCCATCCTGAGAAATATGGCATTGCTGAAATTCCCGAGCAGGTGAACATGGTTTTTTTTGCAGAAAACCATAGTGTGGGTCATTTGGTCTCAATTTTACACTAGGTTAACAGTAGGTTGGTAAGGTATATTTTTCAACTAAAAAATATATCAATAAAGAATAATTTACCTTCTATATAAAGTTATATAGAGAAAATATGTGAAAAAGGAAACACCAGATGAAAATCTTGTAGATCTCTGTTAGCTATACCAAATTATTGTTGAAGTTGTGATGAGGGTGGTGGAGTTAGCACTTAGCTATGGTATATTATAATCATGTAGTGCTCATTTTTTAACTCAATTAGAAAAATATTTGATGTTAAAATTCATAATATAAAACCACTTCCAGTCCATTTAGATTCATAATTTAAAACCACTTTGTAAGTACAGAAAACTATTCTAAACCATAAACACGAAACTCTATCAAAATCATAAACATAATTTATTGTGTAGGTTTACTTGTATTTTAAACATTTTATATTATTATAATATATAATTTTAATAGAGATATTAATAGAATTTTTTTTTTGACATAGAGAATGTTTAATTTCTATTTCACACATTGCACACTTCTAGTTTATCAAATTCAAGCTTTTAATAGGGACTTGCTGTTATGATGAAGTTATTAACACCTCTCTTTCTATGAAAGATAATAGAATGTCTAATAAAATTCTTGATTACTTTTTATATTACTCTTTGAACTCTAATCATCACCAGCAATGACCTATATTGGAGAATCTATAACTAAAGAAAAGAAAAAAGAATAAAGAGTTCTACACTCAACAGAATAATGTCCTCACTAAGAAATTAAGGGTATTTGACTGGAAGATATTAAATGTCAATGCCCTCCAAAAAGAAAAAGAATTCTACTTTAGATAAACAATGATTGGCAATCTTTATCCGATGAAGAGAAGCTAATGACAACATTCTATTGCTCAAACATAATCAACCATTGTTGTTTAAATTTTTTTTATAAATTATAAATATGCTTTTAATTTATAAATGCAAAATTATGAATGTGATATTATAATCCATATTATTTACAATGGAAATTTTCATATAAACACCATCCAAAGTCCAACATTTAATCATGTGAACGATTATGAAAAACCATGTTTATTAGGCAAACAATGGTCACCGGCTCCCTGTGCTAGTGGCCATGGCGGAAAGAATAAGAAGCAGGCATTTGCTCAAAGAGGAGCTGAGCGTCTCGATATTGCGAGCGCGTAAGTCAATCAAAAGCCTTCCATGGGCATGCCACCTTTTCTTTGAAAGTTTATTGTTGCGAGAGGGAAGTAAAAAGAGTTCTAACCTCTTGAGTGAAAAAAATGTTATGAACGATGCTTGCCAGCATGATATTTCTCATTGCTCGCACAATGCTAGCCCGTTTCTTATAACAGGTATGTGAGTCTCTCCCCAGCAAGTTTAGCAGGGCTCCCGCGGCGCAAACCTGTGGAAAGATCTTTCTAGCAATTCTAGTTCGTGTTTCTCGCAAGTTACCTGTGTTTGAAGCTCGGAGCTGCCAAGCAAATGGACCAAGGAAAACATCGCGTCGCTGTTCCGGATCATCGTCCTGCTCGCAATCTCTCTCGAGATGTTTTGGAGAGCGCCGGCAGCTGACCCGCAAATGCCGAGTTGCCGGCTCTGGAGCAGCCGTATGAGTGATTTGATTCCACCCTTCTTGCGAATCTCGCGAATGGCTTCGCCGTCGGAGCTTATGTTGTGCAAAGCGCCAGTTGCTCGAGCTCTCACCTGAAAAGAAACTTTTGCTAGATAGAGATGTGAAGGAAGAACGTTGGAGAGTTTACTCACGCTCTGGGATTTGGACGAGAGCAATTGGACAAGTATCGCGATTGCTCCCAGCGTTCGCACGATCTGGCGGCCTTTTGGGTGGAAGCAAATGCTCTGTAGCGCTCCAGCGGCGTTGGCCTGGAGCTCTTCTTCCGTGGATATGAGCAGCTCAATCTAATGTCACAACTGTGAGAAAGGACAAACAAAAAAGAAGAAAAGAGATTTTCTCACCAGAATCGCGGCGCCATTGTTGTTTAGAACGAGCTCCACATTCTGCCTCTCATAGCACAGATTGAGTATAACATTCGCCCCCTCTGCTGCGATCGCCGCTGGCAAAGATCTGTCCCCCAAGCAATCGAGCAATTCGCCCATGTACTGCTGGCCCAGCACTACCCTCTGCCCCTTCTTTCTCGTCAGGACCTTCAACTGCATCATAAAAGGGAGCAACTCTTGCGGCTCCACTGCCCCAAGATCGCCCAACGCCATGGCCCCAGCCATGGCCCTGCCCAAGAACCCTAAATTCAAATCAAAAACCACGCGCGAAAAGCAGCCACGTGGACGGCTCAGATCAGCCTCTCATGGCTCTTGTATGCTCCCACCAAGCCCAGCCAGTCCATCGTCTCTGGCACAAAGGGCATCGTCTGGAGAAGCTCTTCCGCCTCGATCAATCGCCCAGATCGCGCAAGAAGATCGGCCATGGAGGAGTAGTGTCGCTTGGCTGGAGCTAGATCGTAGTCCAGGATCAAGGATCTAAAGCACCCAATTCCAGAGGAGAGATCGCCGGAATGGTTGGAGCCCAGAAGAACGCAGCAAGAAGAGGAGTTCCGGGGCAAGAATCCCTCCATCGCCATTTGATAGAGGAGCTGCAATGCCGAGAAAGAATCCCCACTCTGGGCAATTGTGAGAGCCATGGCATTCCACGAGACCGTGTCTCGCTCGGGCAAGCGATCAAACCACGAATTCGCTCTAGCTTCGTCACCACTCTGGGATATTGCCGTGAGAATCGCGGTGGAGGCCGCGAGATCTCTTTCCGGCATTGCCCAAAAGAGATTGATCGCGTGATCTAGATGCCAAAACCGGGCATTTGCTATGATGATCGCAGTCCAAGAGATGGCGTCCCACACCGGCATCGCTGCTAGGAATTCTCTACAGATTTCTAAATATCCTGATCGTGAACACTCTTGGAGGAGCTCGTTGCTCAAGACGAGGTCGTGCTCCGGCATCGAGAAGAAGAGATGTTTTGCCCAATCCAGATGGCCGCTCTGGGCAGCCGTGCCAAGAAGCGCTGTGTAGGACACGATGTCGCGTTCTTCCATGAGATCGAAGATGTTCTTCGCGAATTCCAGATCCAGGGCCCTGGATGCCGCCGCCAGCACCGAATTCCACGCGATCAAATCGCCCTCCGGGAGTGATTCCAGCAGCAACACCACAATCTCCCGCCGCTGTGCCACCGCGAGGATCGTCGTGAAGGAGATCACGTCCCATGCCGGCATTGCGTGGAAGAACGACCACGATCCCACGAAATCCCCTGCCCTGGAGTAGGCATCTAGCATCGCGTTCCAAGATCGTAAGCTCTTGTCCGGCGATTCATCGAAAACGGCCCTGGCGCTGGCCAGATCCCCGGCGCGAGAGAAGGCGCACAGCATCAAGAACCACGAGAAGGAGTTCTTGGCAGAGATTTCGCGAAAGATCTGGTGCGCGAGATCGACGCGGCCGCAGCGCGCGTGGAGCTGGATCAAGAGATTCTCGAGGAAGACGATCGAGCCCTTGGCATTGCCCTGGTGGAGGAGGAGAATCCTCGCGTGCGCCGCCCTAGCCTGTGACTCTGTCCGGGAAGATCGAATGAGATCCACGCATTCCTTTAAGCCTCCCACCATTACCATTTGGGGCTTCTTTCATATTTTAGGGTTCTTCGAGATCTTTCTGGATGGCGCTCAGTGCTGCGGCTTGGCGGTGCTGTCGATCGCAATTCCAGGTAACATTTTCGAGGAATTTCTCTTGTCCAGATCGAAATTCTCTCTTTTCTCGCAGTAGTTCCTCAAGCATTACCGATCGAGCGCTTCTTTTCGGCCTTTGCTCGCCCAGGTTCTCTTCCTCGCTCGAAAATTTCCAGTCCACATTGTGTGATTCCTTTGCAGCCGCGATCCAAGACGCAGCACGCAAATCTTCCTCACTACTTGCGGCGATTCTTGCACCGGTCGAGTGATTCTTCCATGGCTTCTTCTCATGCAGCTGGTCAAAACGGGCGCAAGGTGGAGGAGGAGGAGACGCATGGGAGCACTACCAAGGATTTGATCACAGTCCCGACGATGCTCACTGGCGCAAGAGTGGTGGCAGTACCAGCCTTAATCTTTGGTAAGATTTTTCCTCACTGTTCACACTAAAAGTTGTTCTTTCTTTTTCTCTTTGCTAGTGTTCTTTAGCAACCAGGAGTGGGCATCTGTAGCGAGTACTGGGATCTTCGTGGGAGCTGCTCTGACGGATTGGCTGGATGGGTACCTGGCACGAAAGGTGGGACGATGATTTTTTTCATTAGCCGCAAACTATGTTGATCGTTCTCAGTGCCTGCTTGCAGACGAATGCTGCAATCAGTGGTACAAGAATTTGACACTCTTTTTGAATGGCAGATGAAACTCGACTCGGCATTTGGCGCATTCTTGGATCCTGTCGCGGACAAGGTGAGTTGTATAGTCTTTACATTGCTTTGGAGTTATCCTTCTCTCTTTTTTTCCAGCTTATGGTTGCTACAGCCTTGATTCTACTGTGCACAAGGCCTCTCGCGGCTGCCTGGTTTGTAGACATCCCGTGGCTGATTCCATTGCCGGCAGCACTTATGATCAGCAGAGAGGTTTTTTCTCCTCTCCTCTTCTCATCTCTTTAAAGTTTAAGCTTTTGTTTGCAGATTATTATTTCGGCTGTAAGGGAATGGGCAGCTCTCCAAGGACTCAACAAGGTGGAAAACTTCAAATATTTCGTCCTTCATTGTCGCTAAAATCTTTTGTTTGTAGGTGGTTGCTGTGGACAAGCTTGGCAAGCTCAAGACCGCGACGCAAATGGTGTCACTGACTTTCCTTTTGGCATTTGGAGACGCAAGGTATTCAAAAACAACACCGATGAAACCGTTAGTAACTCTACTTCACAGGACTGGAATGGAAGCTTATCTCAGCGGTTTTGGAGTGGGGCTTCTCTACCTATCTACAGGCCTGTCGTTGGTATCTCTCTCTGGTTACATGAGGAAACTATGGCGTAGCATGAAGTTGAGGCAAAAGACTGGATAAATTCTACTCGGACTCAGTACCCGATGGCTCAGAATCACCATCGTCGTCGTCATCTTCATCTCCGGTATCAGAACTTGGATCTTGATCTTCGCCTTGCTCATCCTTTCGTGGTGTTTTAGGCAGCGATTTAGACGAGCCTTTCTCCATCTAGCCCGACACAAGTTTGAGAGGTGATGCGAATTAAACGAGATTATCATACCGCTCGGAGTAAGGTTCGCTTGTCTCGCTCACGAAGGTTACCGAGTGCCTGTAGAGAACTCGAGCTTTAAATCGAGTAAAGTTTCGTTCACTACTGACCTGTTCGAGTTGCTTTCGTTCATTCGCTTCCTCTTCAGCGTTCCTGTCGATCGCGCGAGCAAAACTATCAATCGAAGTATCAAGATCTTAGCTACCTTCCAACAACGGGGAGATTGGACTGGCAGCATTTCGCGCAAGCGTTCTTCTCTTTCGCGCAGGCTGTCAAGGAAAGTTGGAAAGAGAAAACCAAAAGAATCGATGGAACCTGAGCAAAACTTGTGATAAGCTTGGCGAATTACTCGCTTCCCACATTGTTGGCTGTGATTCTTGCAAGTTCACCAGTAAAACAATCAAGAAAAAGTTTCGCGAGAAAGGAGTACATACCATTTGGCGGGCTCGACTAAAGCCTTATACTTCCCATATCTAGAAGCTCGAAACAACCAAAGAACAAAGAATGAGAAGGAGGAATGCAATTCCCACAAAGATTACCTGCGACGCCATTCGATCTTGTCCTTGCAGCGCGCGCAAACTCCAGTGATCGCGGGGTATGGATGCATCTTGCCTCCAAGCTCCTGTTCGATCGCTCTAGAAACGAGACGGAGAAACACAAACAAACCTTGTCGTTCTTCTTCACTCCTTTGTTGGGTTTCCACGCAGTCCTGACAGAGAATCGTGAGCTTTAAACCTCAAAAATCTCTCACTCACGTATTCTGGTGCTTGGGCGGGCCTCTCCGCGACGCTGCTCCACTCGACATTGGCGCTGGAGTTCTAGACTAGGGTTTATGCCTAGTTGGCAACACATCAGATTTAGGGCTAACGTGGCGCCAAAAGGTCGGGATTACGTCAGTAGCAGACGTGGCACTCGAGTCAGATTTAGGGCAAACGTGGCTCTTGTTTAACCGGACTTCTAGTAGGAAGTAGTGTGCTCCACCGCGTTTCTAAAATTTACGCTCCCAACGCCATAGCTCGTAGCTCCACCGCTACCTCCGCCATACACTCCTCTCCCCGGCGACGCCACAAATCTCCTCGTCTCGTCCAGGATCTTCTTCTGATCGACCAAGCCACTCCGATCGAAGCTCCTCAGAACAATCCCGCTGCTGGACGTGTTCTCGCCGGAAGAGTTCGTCCCTGTCACCGATGGCGCTGCTCCAAATCCAGTGGAAGCGGCGCTGGTCGAAGCGGCAGCGATGGAAGAAGCCTGCGGTCGCTCCTCCATCTTCACTTGGTCTCTCTTCCTGTTCATGAAGAACCACGCTAGAGCCAGCACCGCCGTCGTGAAGAACACCGGCATTCCCCAAAACTTTGCGCCGATCTCTCCCGGCCTGTGCACTGGGAGGTTGGATCGAAACATCCCAACGTAGCCTTCTCCGAATCCCAGCACAACCAACTTGTCCCTGTCGCACACCACCAGCGGCTGTCTCGCCGTCGCTACCGGAGTGCTGAGAAACGTCTGCGAGATCTCGTCGATGGAAGCCGTGAAGAGCGAGCGGCTACTTCCTCCTCCTCCCACTCGAGAGTTTCCAAACCCCGAGTGGAGCGTCGTGTTGTAGACTGCTACTTCCCGCGGCGTGACGATGAGAATGTAGCCTTTGAGACCGTGGAGCCTCACCGGTCCCTGGAGATCGAGTTTCCTCTTCACCCTTGCATGGCAGTCGAAGTGGAGAGTATCCCCGGAGAGTGTCACGTAGATCAGATTGCCATTCTCCGTCACCCCGTAAGCCTTCGATCGTCCGGAAGCATCGAAGGCGTAAGCCACCAAGCTCGAGTTGCGGAGGCCTTCGCACGGGCTGCTTCGCACCGTCATGGTTCGAAGATCCAGAGACGCTGCCCCGGAGGCCGTGAGAAAGAGCAGCCTTTGAGTGCTCGAGGTTCGCAAGAACGCCAGAGGCCTGCTGGGCGACTCGGCCGTCCCGTAGAGAGTCCCATTGTCTCGGAAAACCTGGATCTTCCCACTCGCGTCGGCCACCAGCAAGTATCTCATCCTGCCGACTCTATACATCTCCAGCGTATGGAGTATAGGACTTGCTTCGCCACCACCACCCCGAGTGAAAGGATCCACGAACGTGTGACTGAATTCCACTCTCAAGCTCGTCCAGTCCTCCACCGACGAAGATCCTCTATGAACGCTCTCCCACACCCGGTACGCTAGAACAGCCCCGTTGGAGTAGCCCGTGACGAGCATCGTCTCGTTTCTTCGCAGGATCACTGAGATCATCGTGGTGACTGGAGCTGTGTAGGGGCTGGAGTGATCCACCAGCAAATCGCCCAGCGAGCTAAAGATGTAGAGATGCCCGGCCTCGTCCCCGACCGCCACGTACTTGCCCATCCCATCCTCGCCCTCGTGAGGAAGAATGTGGAGCGACGACAATGGCGCTTCCAGGTGGACCGCCGAGAGGAATTGGAAGTGATCCGACCAGGCAGGCTTGTATCGCGCCACGACGCGGACCTTGGCTGGGGCCGTGATCGTCATCGCGGCCGTGCCCTGGATCGACGAAGAAGAAGTACCTTGCTGTGGACTAGAATCTGGCGATGGCGTGATGATCTTGATCGGCTCCTCCTCCTGCGATTTTTCGGCGCCGCGATCGACGAAATCTCGATCTTGAGGGTCTGGAGCAGCGAAATTTCTCCTCGCAGGGACGGTATCGTCCAGAGCTCGGACCAAGTCAGCCAATCTATCCACCAGATCTCTCAGTCGATCGAGCTGCTCACTGTTGCCGCGGATGAGATTCTCGAGCTCGCCGTGCTGCTGCTGCTCGGATCTCCCTACCTTGTTGCCGCCGTCATCGATCAATCCTCCTACAGCTCCGCCTGAGCCTCTCTCGGGACACATCGCCGCCCCCAATCCATCGCAGAGAGATTGATCCTCGCTGCATCTCGCGGCAATCAGACCGAGAAGCATGACACAGAATGCCGCTCTCCACATGGATCCATCCTCGCTCATCGCTTCTCTTCACCATACCCCGAGAATTTCTTCCTATAAACCCTAAAATCTCCCCAGGCTTTACAGTAAAGTGGAAATATTTTGGGCCACATGGCCAAATGGTTTTCCCAAAAACCTAGCAGCGTCTAGGGTGTCGGCGGCCGAGGATTGGGAGCTGGATTGCAAGCAAGGCGCCAGCGAATCGACACTGGAAGTGAGTGGATTGCTTGATTTTGGCGAGGAAATCTCGCGTTGCGACGTCTTTTCTCGAGATTCTGGCATGGTGTAGGAATTCTTCTCGTCGCGGCTCTTAGCTCAGATTTCCGGGAGAAGCAGGCACATTTTAGTTCGTGTACAGATCTAGAGGATCCCCGGGCTTGGTGTACAGTACCAGTGGCACAGATTTGTACAAAACCATGGACAGGATAGGTGATAGAAAGGTTGTAAATGAGAGGAGGATCGAGGAGGAACAACAGGATTTAGGATCGTTTCCTGCAAATGGTATCTCTTCCTTTCGTTCTTTTGGTTTTTGGGATTGTCTAAACGTGGTTTCTTGCTTGCAGATGGCCGCTTTGATGCCTCCCAGTACGCGTTTTTTGGACGAGACGTGACTCAAGATGTTGAGCTTGGAGGATTAGACGATGACGATGACGAAGACATTGGTCATCTTCATGAGATTGAGGATGATGTTTACTCGTCCACTGCCAGTAGAGCAGAGGTAAAGGGCGAGAGTTTTTTTTTTCGGGTTTCGATAGTGTGCTATTGATTTTTCTTGTTGCAGATAGGAGCGTTCGATGTCTCATCTGAAGTGGAGGACGTTGGCGAACTTACGAGCTCCTTTTTGAAGGTATTAGCTTGGTGTGTCGATGCTATTTGATCGAGCTTGTCTCCTGTCTGTTGCAGCTAAATGCGATTGATTCTGGCGACAGATTTCGAAGTCAACTGGATGAGGTTGGAATTACGGAAAAAGATGGTGAGGCTAGTTACTGTCCCTCCACTTTTGTCTAACAATGCTCGCTTCTGCAGTTCACGACTTTCCCGTCGATGTGACTTGGGCCGGAAACGAGTACGAGAGGAATCAGTGGGCTCAGTCGAGACAAAGCTCACAGCAAACAATAGCAGAGTTGCAGCAGAGGACAGAAGAGCTCTATCAAAGAGCCAGAACTTCGGATTCTTCGCAGCAAACCATAGATGATCTGCAACAGCGGGCAGAAGAAATCTATCAAAGGATCAGGTCTTCTTCTGATTCGGGGCAGCAGCAGCAACAATGGTGGCGTGACGGTGGCTCTATTCAGCCTCCTGGTTACAATCTGCCCAAGTCTCACGGCTGGCCTGGACAAGCTCCAGCTTCGTCCTCAGGACCGGTTGTAAATAGTGCGTTCAAGTCCCAGCAGTTTACGAATCCTCAAATGGCACAGGCAATGATGGGTCCGTGGTTACAGTCGAACGTGGCACCGATTCCTCCAGGCGCTGTTCGACACCCTCTGCCTCAACAAAATCCTCTCATGCCGTCCCAAGTGGTGCTACAGCAGTATCAAAGGTCACAGGGATATCCAGCGCCGCCTTCCTTTGCTCAGATCCAACAGCAGCAGCAGCAGCAACAACAGCAGGCAATGAGCATGTCCCAAAAGTCGGACTTAGCAGGCTTGGGGGATTTCAGAGATCCCAGGGGAAGGCAGCAGACTCCTCGGGGCTCTCCAGATAGCTCGTATGGTTCCAGGAAAAGCTTGGACTCTTCACCTCAGATGCGATCCAAGTATATGACGACGGACGAGATCGACACCATTGTGAGGATTCAATGGGCTGCAACGCACGGAAGTGATCCATACATTGACGACTACTACCACCAGGCAATGCAGTCGAAACAGGCGGGTGGTACGCCGCACGGAAGACGGCATTTCGCTCCTTCTCATTTGCGGGAGCTCCCGTCCCACGCACGAACAGCAGCAGAGCCGCATGCCTTTCTCCAGGTTGACGCGCTAGGGAGGATTCCTTTCTCGTCGATTCGCAGGCCACGACCATTGCTCGACGTAGACGGCGTCAACAGCACGGGTGACAGACTATTGTCATCCGACAGTGCTTCAAGTCAGAGACGCTTGGAGCAGGAGCCGATGTTAGCCGCAAGGATTGCTGTGGAGGACGGGCTGTGCCTGCTCTTGGACGTCGACGACATCGACCGCATGCTGGCCGTCTCTCAGCATCCCGACGGTGGTGGCCAGTTGCGGCGACGCAGACAAATGCTGCTGGAAGGACTGGCAGCCTCGCTTCAGCTGGTCGATCCTTTGGCTCCAGGCAGTGCGATGAGAGACTCGAGCGGACGGTTTGGACTGGCTGCCAAGGATGATCTGGTGTTCCTGCGGTTGGTCTCGCTCCCCAAAGGCAGGAAGCTCCTCACCAGATATCTACGACTGCTCGTCCCGGGAAGCGAGCTCGTTCGCATCGTCCTCATGGCAGTTTTCCGGCATTTGAGGTTCTTATTCGGCGGCGTCCAGTCCGATCCAAGCGCTGCGGCTTCGTCCACTGGTCTCGCGAATGCAGTCGCCGCCACCATCAAAACCATGGACTTGCCATCTCTCAGCGCCTGCCTCGCAGCGGTGGTCTTGGCATCGGAGCCGCCACCTTTGAGACCGGTAGGAAGCCCGTCCGGCGATGGAGCCACGGTGGCTCTCCAGGCAGTGCTGGACCGAGCTACGAGCATCCTGACGGACAGGAACGTCCAGTACCCGCTCCAGAACACGAGCGTGTGGCAGGCTTCGTTCGACGCCTTCTTCGGCCTGCTGTCCAAGTACTGCACCAACAAGTACGAGAGTATAATGCACTCGCTGCTCATGGCGTCGGCCGGGAGCTCGGCGGCCATCAACGCGGCGGCGGCGGCGGCCATGACTCGCGAGATGCCGATCGAGCTGCTGCGCTCCAGTCTGCCGCACACCAACGAGAACCAGCGCAAGAGGCTGCTGGAGCTCGCGCAGAGGTCGCTGGTGATGGGAGTGGGCGTTGGCGATGGGCATGTCAGTGCCGCCGCGGCGGTGAGAGGCTGAGGTATGGTCGATCTCTTCCTTGGTTTCCTTGATAGCATTGCGCACTAATGCCTTGGCGTTCTTTTTTGCTAGAAAACCATGCACCAGGTGCAAATAAAATGTGTCATTACTCGTTTTAAACACTTGCTGGCACTGATGTGATCTTGCACGAACAATGTGAATATTTCGGACCGCAGAGCTGGTGGCTGATGTCTGATGTGGACTTCCAGAATACTGAATTTGGCTCCACTCCGCTTGAAGCTCAGTATAAACTAGCGGTAAGCCTCAACTTAGACAAGTAGGCCTGTGTATAACATGTGGTACATTGTAAGTGGTGTCATGGACAAAGGGAGATACGATTGTGTACATGGATTGAAATCATTCAGCTCGTTGTGCAGGGCCGATTTCAAGCGCTGATGTGAAGGTTGCGCCTTAAGACGAGATGGAGACGTATAGCAGCTTGTGTTACTTCGAGAGTCATGGAAGCAAATGAGTGATCACGATCACAATTCCAAAATTTTGATACAGATGGTATTTCCATATTTTGATAAATAAGATATATTCAGTCCCGTATTAACTATCGCTTCACATTTCCACCCAAAACAGTCGTTTCCTCCCTTAGCAGCGTAGCAGCGTAGCAGCAGAAAGTTTCGTTTCCTTATTCAGCAGCGAAGTATCTCGATACTGCGTCAGAAACTGCGCGTTCATTTCTTGCTACAACCGGCTTGGACGCTTCGTCGAGTGCGTCTCCACGAGCCACCGCTCGCAGCATTGCTTGCGCTAAACCAAGGGCCCGGGTAGGATATATAGGAGATGGACCAAACGCAGGTGTTTACTGCGCTGGTTAGAGCCACTTAACAAATTGACCGACGTCCAGAGCCTGCACGAGAGTGCAACTATGAACAAGGAGCTGGACATATACAACAACTAGTTTCCAGATTTTCCTGCTATATGTTCCTGGATGTGATTACACAGACGCAATGCCAGTGAGCCATGACATTGGCAAGGACATGGTAGGCTATCTCGGGGACGTGTTGGTGAGAGCCGAGGGTCAGGCTGATGCCAGAACATCTTGCGGATATCCATCATGTGGATCTCATTCTTGGGATGCCATGGTTGGTGAAGGTGGATCTGGAGATAGTGATCTATAGTGTGAGTTTTGTTTTTGCAGCTTTAGATCACAAGTATGGTTACAGCGAGGAATCAGAACCTTGTTTCGACTTCCTCCAGTTTGCCAGGCCGAAACGAATCTGTTTGCTGGCTTGCCCGACCGCCCCAGAGTGCGAGAAGAGTCGCGACGAACAAGGAACTGGATAAGTTCAAGGTGCATGGATTTGGCAACATTTACTTGGAGGGTTTGCTATCAGTTTCTATTTGTCTGTTGGTATTGCATCGATGTCCTCGCCTCCACCTAGGTAATCACAGTTAGAAGAGAACCTGAGATAAGCCAGCGAGGGTGTGGTAAGCTATCTCGACGACGTGGTTAAACATGGAGATCGAAAGACGTTGCTCCCTTTTTTGTGATAGTGAGACGAAAGCCGATCTTCAAATTACGTTGGAAGTGAATTGATTTTACACGTTTTATGCACGAAACGGACTAGATCAAAGCGCAGGAAGAATGTTGTCTTCGTCGTTTTTACAGAGGAAACTCCGCTTGCAATGTTTCCAAGTCACGCTTGTCACAGGCGTCGAGAAGATCTGTCCTGGTGGCACTGGCACAACAACGAAGGTCGACACCAATCGCGTGAGATCAAAGCGCTGCAAACCCGAGGATAGAATAGACACGAACCTGAGTGACATTCTAAGGTACTGCCAAGCGTTGTCGGCTTTGGGATTCATGCACAAGGCTCGGACGTAGTAGCGAATGGATTCCTGGTACTGGGCCTGCACAAGATTTGTCTCTTTATCTATCATCTAGAAAAGAAGATAAAAAGTTACTTGATTCGCGTAGCCAATTCCCATGTTAGACCACGCGCGCACATAGTTTGGCTTTAGATTTAGCGCCTGGAAAATTTCCAATGAGTTAGAAAAGAATGCACAAGCAGCAGAGAGAAACTATCACCTCTTGGTAGGCATATATCGCGTCGGAGCTTCGTGCGCTGTTGGCCTGCGTAGCTCCCAGCTTGTTCCACAGGGAATAATCACGGGGTTTTAGCTTGAGAGCTGTCTCGAAGGACTGTATCGCGTTGGAGTATTCCCGAGAGAGGTTGTAGAGAACACCCAAGACGGTGTGGACGTCACCATCTTCTGGTGCCATTGCTGCTGCCTCGTTAAACAATCGGGCAACCTGAAGGATTTCAAAGAGTTTGGGGTTACAGTTCAATTGCAAAAACTTACGTCCGATTGCGTGAGACTTTCGGCATTCTCTTGAGGCACAAGTATTCCATACTTTGGATGGTGTTGAAGCCAGCCTCTTAGATATCTCAAGGCTTCAGGCTGCTCCAATTCTAAAAGAAAATCAACACTATAAGAACGAGGGCAGCTGAGGTTACGTTACCATTAGTATGACTAACGCCAAGAGCTAACAAAACCTCCAGATTGGTGGGGTCTGCGTCTCTTGCTCGAACCATCGATGCGATTGCCTAGCAAAGAGAAATAGAGGTTCACAACAAAATTAAAAGGAAATAAAAATAAAAGACTCACCTGACGATCGTCATCATTTTCAGCATGAGTAATCCCTAGCAATCGCCATCCCTCGGCATTCTCTGGATTTTTTATCACTTCCGCTTCCAGAGCAAGCACAGCTTCGCTGAGCAGGCCCTTCCTGAACAGCTCTTGGCCTTCCTTGAGGGGATTCGGGTGGCCGACATATGGGTTCTGGTCAGCAAAAACGTATGTCCACTTTGAGGACGCGGAACGACTTTGTTCCCCTCTAAGTTGTTCCTCCACGAACCTGGAAAACAGCGTTAGCTCTACAAAAAGGACGACATTTAGCCTTACTTATCGTAACTTTCTTGCCAGTCCTCTGACACGAACGCACCATCATCCACCTGCTCTTGAAACTCGTCGGCCCACTTTTGCGTCCTGTTGGAAAATTCTTCGGCCCAGGCCCCACCAGGTTCTTGTTGAGCAAACTCGTCAGCCCAGCTGTTTGCGTTGGCGTGCTACATTTTCTACGATCAGCCTCTCGAAAACAAAACGTATAAAGAAAAAATAAAACCTCGCCAGCAGTGAACTCTGCAGCCCAGTTTCCCGGATGGTTTACTTGTGTGAACTCTTGAGCCCAGGCATTGGGAACAGCGTTCTCCTTCACTTGATTGTCTTCTACAATCAATTCACCGCGACTCATTCGCGACACAAAGTGCAAAAACTTTGAATTCTGTAAGACATGATTTTCAGTGCCAGAAAGATGCAAGAATAAAAGCTTACTTGGAACTTTGGATCTTCATTTTTAGACAGCGTGTCCACAAGAGACTGAGTTTGTTCTAAAGAGCTGACGTTTCTGAAATCAGCGTGCCTAGCAGGCAGAGACTGCTGCTGCTGAAAATTCGAAGAACAAATGTTACAAAACAAAAACAAAAAAACATCGAGAGAAAGATACCACCTCACTGAACTGCGCCGCCCAGCCGTCAGCATCATGTTGTGATTGAAACTCTTCAGCCCAGTAATTCTTCTGAGGATATTGTTGATGGAAATCTTGCACCCATTCCTCATGTTTACCATGGTTGGTGTTGCCCCAATAATTTTCCATCTCAGAAAACGCTCTATTGGAAGGTTCTCGAACTTCTCGAACGCCATCTTCTATATCCAAAGATTCCAAGAAAGCATTAACCTGAAAATAAATATTAGAACTATGAGCTATGAGAGCAAAGAATTCAGAGCTTATATGTACCTGCGCATTGACATACTCTTCCCCTTTATCGGCAAAGAAATGCCTAGCCATGATACTACTACGATCGCGAATGCGTTGCTTGTCGAATCCTGACAATCCGAGCTCAGGCAGGCGAACAGCATGAAAAGGAAGTTCTGTTCTGCTGCTAGCGAAAAATGAACGAAGGAAACCAGATAGAGCATGCTGCGGAGGTCCTGTGATTTACAAGCACAAATTAAAACAAAGCTCGCAAAAGAAAAAAAAACGCGAACCTTACCATCCATGTAATGTAGCTGCTGAACGTTTCCTCCCGGTTTCTGGCCATAGATTCGTTCGAATTCTGAAAACCTCGACAAGTCTTCTCCCCTTTGCGTAGCTTCGTTCCAAGCATCAGCGTAAGGAGCCGGTTCGGCATCACGAAACCCGCGCATGAACTCTGAATGCTGCAACTGAAAACTCAGCAAAGCTCCAGATTGAAAATTTTCCACCTGAGTTTCATTCTGAAACTCCGTTCCCGGAAGTGATGCAGCGGAGCTGCTCCCATACTCCAATTGCTGTCCAGGGCCTTGGAAAGTTGGAATGGTTGGAAGCTCACGTACTCTTTCCTGAAAAGAAAGGCTTTTAGAGGACAGCACTCCAACTAAACATACAAGAATGTGGCCTATTTCCTCTCTCGATTCTCTTCTTTCTTCCTAAACTTTGCTCTAGCATTAGAAGTGAATATCGATTCTACGAACCTGAGCTTTTGGCAGCGATCCCAGCAAGGAGCTGGCGAAATTGGCCAGAGGATTCGAAGAGGACGAGGCGCCCTCGCCTGGGACGACGCATCCTCCAGCTCCAGTCACCAAATCGCGCAGCGCCATCGCTCCCACCCCAGCGCCCTATCAATCTATGATAGAACCCTAAAAAAAAATTTCACCTCTATCAAATAATTGACCCTAGGCCTAGGTTCATGGAAGGAAGCTTCATGGAGAAATCTGGATCTCACGAAATTTTCTCTCTCTGTAGCCTTGACTTCCACAGAGGAGGCAAGAAATCCCTAGTTTCACGACATTGGCGCTGGGACTGGCGGGCATGGAGGAAGAATCCATCATCCACGCTCTCCTCGCGACGATCGATCATATTTCCGAGGTAGCCATGGCGGCACAGGTAAACAAGGGCCAGATCTTCGTCCTCCTCACGGCTTGCGGCTACGTGCGCCTCCACATTGATCTCTGGAGCGCGCGCTGCTCGCCGGCCACCATCGCCAGGCAGCAATCGTGCTTCCAGCAGCTCGATCAGGCGCTCCTCGCGGTGCTGCGCGTGGCATCCAAGTATTCCGGGCCGGATTGGATCGAGAAGCCATGGCTGTACGTGGCTCGCGAGAATGCGGTGGTTTTCGAGGCGCTGCTCGACGATCTGGCGATCCATGTGGACCTCGTCATGGCGGCATTGCTCCAGGACAGGGATTGTTCTTCCGGGACCAAGGATTGGATTGGGGTGTTGAGAAGGACGAGCTGGGAGAATTCCAAGGCGCTGAGGTGTGGGCTGAGGATCAGTGCTAGCGAGGACAAGACCAAACTGCTAGAGATTTTGGGAAGTGCTCGGGGTGGCTCCTCAGTGGCCACCAACATGCTGCGATCGTCGGGCTCGCCATCGGCGGCAAGTAGAATGGATTGGATTGATCCATCAGAGCTCGAGCTTGACGATAGGAAGCCTCTGGGACAAGGCTCGTTTGGATTAGTGTTCCAGACAACTTGGGCTGGTCACACAGTGGCAGTGAAGAAGTTTCCAAAGGAGCTATGGTCGCAAGATCCGTGGGAGGTATGCCAATCTTTCCATTCTTTGACTTATAGCTGGTGATGGTTTTTTGTTCCCTTGTTTCTTTTCAGGGAGAGATCATGGTGAAGCTCAGGCCGTGCCATCCATCGGTGCTCCAAATCCTCGGCTGGTCGGAGAAAGATAACAAAGCTTATCTCGTCATGGAGCTCATGCAAGGAAGCCTCGCTCGGCTCATTCCAAGCCTCGTCACTGCTCCAATCATCCTGATCGTGGAGATCATGCTCCAGATCGCACAGGGAATGGATTTCGTGCACAAGAAGAAGATAATTCACAGGGATCTCAAGCCGGGGAACGTCCTCGTAAACTTTGACGGCAAGTTTGAGGATGGATCGGCTCACAACATCGTCGCAAAGGTGGCGGATTTTGGGCTCTCCAAGATGAACTTTTCAAGCAACCATTATCACAGCCACTTGAAAGGAACGGTTCTCTACATGGCTCCAGAGATGCTCGAGGGGGACTGGGAGATGAAGAGCCAGTACGATTTAAGCGTCGACGTTTACAGCTACGGGATGATGTTTGCCGAGATCCTCACCGGGACGCCGCCATATCCTCTCGGCCTTACCAAGAAGGCTTTGCTCGATGAGATTCGGCGTGGCTTGAGACCCAGGCTTCCGCAACGCTGCCCTCAAGCTCTCAAGGACACCATCGCCTACTGCTGGGATTCACAGCCTCGTCGGCGGCCAACTTTCGAGCATATATGCACGCGGCTGTGGAGGCTCAAGGGACAGCTTCTCACCGGGGGTGTCTACTGCATGCCGGACGCGAGGATCATTGTCAAGGGAAAGCTTCTCGTCGGGGAAAAACTCACGGGACAGGGGAGCTTTGTGACTGACACCGAGTGGTCGATTTGCTACTGGGTTCGTCACCAGAGCAATGGCAAGACAGTGCGGCTGTTGCCAGCGATGGAGATAAGCTCTCGAGACAAATCTCCAGAGTACGTGATCACGGGTTGCGACTACGACTCCAGCATCGAGCTGGTTTGCATCAGCGTGGACAGCAAAGAGCACAGCACCACCACGACTTGCAGGGCGTTTGCTGGCTACGGTGGATCTGTCGACTGTGACGATTTCTACAAGCAGCCGAGTACACACTTCGCGGTGAAAGTTTTCGAAGATGATGAGAAGTCCTGGAAGGGAAAGTTAGTGATCACAAAGACCGGATTGAAGCTGAGCAACCGCAGGATGTGCAGTTCTACCATCTGGGAGCCCTACAATGGAGGTTTTTCCGTGGAAGTGGCACCACTGGAGAGCAGCCTGGCGCAGTGTGTAGTGAAAGGCGAGGGTGGCACATATCGTCTACAGTTTGATAAGTGGGAGTTGCGAGACCTGGCGATCATCACTATCAAGAGCAGCATCTATGGTGGCAAGACGAATAAATAGCGATGAAAGCGAAAGTTTATCACAGTTTGGTTAGAGATGAGGAGCAGGATATCTGGCGGCTCACCCAAACCTTGAAAGAAAAAATCTTGTAAGAACTTGGCAGCAAGAGAAATCTCAGGTAAAGGAGGGGCAAGGAATTTTTCTGTCTAGATTTCATCTTTTTGAGCAGATTTAAATCAAATCTTGCACAGCCTTTTTTTTTTTTTTTGAGAGAGAGTTGTAGCTCAATTGTTTTCTTGTTATCCAGCAATCAGTCCAGAATCGAGGTTTGTGCTCACGCCGAAGAGCGAACCAACTGTGCAGCTCAATTGGAACTCCTTTGCGAGACGATTGAGCTTCCACGGCCCATTCTAACACCATCCGTGAAAACGAATCCCTTTTTGCTGCCTAGTTGGTTTTCGAAGACTATGAACCCTTATAGTCCCTGCAACGATTCCAGACGTGGGCAGGGAATGTGCTTGGTGGAGTCGAGGCCTGACTTTCATTTGCTCGTCTCCTACTTGGCATTTCTTGAGACTAAGTACATTCCCTGTCCACGTCTGGAATCGTTGCAGGGAGCCTCTGTGAGTGGATCATGACTCTCAGAGCTTGTCCTCTTGCTCTTGCTCCAATGAAATGCCCTCCGTCTATCCCCTCGACATGACCCAGCTCTCGTAAGAATCAAGCTCCTTTTTCTTCCTTCTTCGCAAGAAATTTCTCTTCGTTTTGTGCTGTGGCAGGAAGATGACTGGAGTAGAGTACGTGCTGCTCGAAGCCAGGAGCCCAATCTCTTTGTCCTCCACAAGTAAAAGACTATATCCTCGACGGCCATATCTATCAATTACCGCTGCTCTACAGTGTTGTTTGCAGCAGATGGTTAAATCACGAGGCCTTTCTTGTGCTGCTTCTGATGATCCGCCAGCTGTGCATCACATCTCCACTGCCTTCTGCCAAGTCTCAGCAAAGCTCGAGAAGTCTTTTGTTCCTGTCCCTGACGATGCTCTGATGTAGACCATGAGAATGAGCTGTGCAATGAAGATCTTCATTCCCCTCGTTCTAACACTGGTTTTTGCAATTGCTCCTGCACAATCGAGCCTCCCAAATGCGGGAGAATTGGATCTATCAAAGTGCACCGAGGTGATCCGGTTCTACTTGCAAGACCAGTTCAATGGGAGCAATCCGACAACAGCAATTGTCCTGCCTCCTCGTAACAACGAAACGTTGTTTGGTCAGGTTGCCATTTTTTATGACAAGCTGACTACGGAGTCCTCGATCAACTCCAAGCTTGTGGGAAGAGCCAAGGGTTTTCTGGTGATAGATTCGCTGGGCAAAAGCAGCTTTCTCCAGATCATGATGGAGCTGGAAGGGCGGAAAGGTACAATAGTGCTCCATGGTCAGAACCCCTTCACTGAGTCCCAAAGGGAAATAGCCGTTGTTGGGGGCACAGGAGAGTTCAGAAACGTTCAGGGCTACGCATTAACGAGCACAACTGGAGCTGAACCTGGTGGGCTTATTGCAATCTACGAAGTTCATCTGGTGAGGCTCTGGAAATGCATCTGGAAATGCTTCAACATGAAACTCATATTTTACTATTTCATTTTGTAAACTCAGAACCCTAGACCATTAAAAAATGAATATGCTTTATTTAATTATACATCTTAACCTATTACCCACACTCTCAGTCACTCAAAATTTCTGAGACCTGATCCGCGCAATTAAAATCACTCGGCGAGTGCACCAGGAGGGCCACTACCGCTAATCTGTTCATAACATGACTTAATTCATTAGAAACTACCTGAAGATCCTTGGTTGCCGGTTCTACTAGATCCCTGATTTGTTCGTTGTAAATCTGCATTGATATTGCACTTCCTGCCGGCTGGAGGTGCGTTGTTTCTGTGGAAGTACGTCAATTTTAATTGCTACAAGTAGTTATGGTCGACAGTCTTTACTTGTTCAATCCGCAGGAAGAGCGCCTTGAAGAATCTGGGTGCAATCCCAGCCTCATCACTCAGGGAACCTGATTTAGGAATGCTTCCCCACATTGTGTAAGTTTTCCCGCTTCCCGTCTGCAAGAGATGAAAATGCTCATATTTTATGATCCAGGTTGCGAGTCTGAAATACCTGACCGAAGGCGAACATAGAGCAATTAAAGCCATCCAGACAGTGCGCCACCATAGGCGAGCCTACCACGAAAACATGTTGCTATAGAGCCATGGTTCATACAATTCGCTAAATGTGCTTGCTTGCCTGTGTTGAGTTTTCCCCAGCAACTCCATCGCACGTGAATTGCTGATGCTCCAGCGTAACAGAATTTGAGGATACTACAAACAAGCTTCTGGCTGCTGCTTCTTCCTGCTCTTTGCTGATCAATGGCCTTACTCTCAGGACAACCTAAAGAAAAAAGATAGAATAACATCAACAGAAAAACAGAGAACACAACCTTACCTTCACTCCTGTGTCTGTCTCAAGCGGCAGACGGTCCCAATCGAGCTTGCACCTGAGATGACGATCTTGACCTTCCTGCACCTCATTCAACCTACATTTTGCCAAAGGCACCCGCATAGGGCTGCAACACTTGCTGCTACTGCACCTGGACAAGGAAGAAGAAGAGGAACAAGAAAAAGAAGCCGAGGGAGGCATATTTTCATCATTCTGTTGCCTCCAGTTCTTGAGCCTGTGCTCTCATCCCGCTCGCTTCGATCAAAGCTCCAGTGAAATCCTCCTGCTGCTGCGTTGGAAGCAATCTTGGAGCCGAAGCTTGACATGTTCTAGGTATATTCTTCCGTTGGGAATGGTCCTCCCCATGGTGCCTTATTCCACCATGTATATAGTATATTCCGCCGTGGTAGAATATGCTATTGTGGTGGTGACGTGCATATTCTACCATATACCTTGCCCGATTGATGTTCGAACGTGAACTTATAAAACACCAAGTTGCCGAGGCGCCGGAAAACCAGTTCTGTTCTTCAAATACATAAATCGAGTTCTAGTGCTGCAGTAGTGGACACACAGCTCTGCAATGAAGATCTTCATTTCACTCGTTCTAGCTCTGGTTTTTGCAATCGCTCCTGCAGAATCGAGCTTCCCAAAGCCGGGAAGATTGGATCTATCAAAGTGCACCGAGGTGATCCGGTTCTACTTGCACGACCAGTTCACCGGGAGCAATCCGACGTCAGCAGTTGTCCTGCCTCCTCTCAACAACAAAACATTGTTTGGTCAGGTTGGGATCCTAGATGACAAGCTGACTAAAGAGTCCCCGATCAACTCCAAGCTTGTGGGAAGAGCCAAGGGTTTTCTGGTGTTAGATTCACTGAGCAGCAGCAGCTTTCTCCAGAGCATGACGGTGGAGCTGGAAGGGCGGAAAGGTACAATAGTGTTCCATGGTCAGAACCCGTTCACTGAGCCTCAAAGGGAAATCGCTATTGTTGGGGGCACAGGAGAGTTCAGGAACGTTCAGGGCTACGCATTAACAAGCACAATTGGATCTGAACCTGGTGGGAACATTGCAGTCTACGAAGCTCATCTGCTGAGGCTCTGGGAATGCTTCAAGCCATGAAACTCATATTCTACTCTTAATATATAGGTACCACGTTTTCTATAAAATGTGATAATCTATATAATAAAACGCTCCGGGCCGTCCAAAATAAGTGAAATCTTTGCCAAACCATGTCACGATTCTGTGCATGGTTCCCGCCGTCGATCTGTACTCCTATGGACGGCTGAGATCTGGCGGATCTCATCTGGAAGATCCCACGGCTGTGAACATGCGGGACTCCCAGTTGAGAAGGGCGAGTTTTGACTGCCGCTTTTTCCTCTTCTGTGTGGGCGCGCAGCCAAGCGCAGGAGACTCTGGCAACCTGAATGCGCTGATCGGTTGGGAGCAAGCGCGGGACGGTAGGCTGCTGCAGCTGGATGCGCTGGGATTCTGCCCGCTGCTTCCTCTCAAGTGGGACGTTAAAGGCCTGTTCTGTGGCCGGGTGATCTTGACGAGGGGGCTGCTGCGAAAGCTCTCTCCTGTGAGCTGAATAGTCGTGCTCCTCTTGGGACAATATGCGCTGTCTTCAGCAGCTTTGCTGATGAGAGAAGCCAGGCCTCACGGCATAGCGCTCTATAGAGAATGAGAACACTCCCAGAACAATCCCCTGGGATGGATCTCACACAGGATGGGAAAGAAAACTAAGAAAGCCCTAAACTGAAGGAATGCGACTCAGATCACGGCCCCCCAGATGCTCCTCCAGCGCTGGCAGAGTCCAAGATCGTGCGCCTGTCAGACTGCGACCATCTCTTCCACACGCATTGCATCTTCTCCCCGAGTGAGTGCTCTTTTCCCTGTTCTGAATTGTTTGTTTGTTTGTTTGTTTTCGTGTCAGGTGACGGATATGTCTGAGCAGGGAGCTGTTCACCTTGGAAAACAGAGGTCAGGCTTATGAGAAAAAAGGAAATTTACTTCTGACATTGTAGCGATTCGCCATACAATTTTTGCTTCTGGCCTTGATATCGATTTGGTTGCTTTGTTGTGCACCTCCATCATGGTCTCCAAGAGCGTTACTGTAAAGGAACATGTGCGTTGCAGGGACCTGTGGTCGCCTGAGGAAGATCAGAAGCTATCAAGAACCATGGACTTGGCCGATTTTTATATTGGGAACCATTGGCGTCGTGGTTGCCACAAGTCAAGCTCTGGGCTGCCGCTCTGACGCAACAAGCTGCTCGCTTTTGCGCTCCCACATTATTCTCGCTAGCTCCTGCCAAGAGGATTTGGCTGAATCCGAGTTTAGTGTGTTCTTGGGTCTTTTTCGCTTGCACGACGGTGGATTATAGCTCCCTGACGCAACATGTCGCCATGTTCTCCAAACCGCTGAAAACTCCCTCTTAGCTTCGCAAATTCCACTCAATCGGATTCAGCCATAGCCAATGCAGCTATGCACAATATTGGTGGCTGAAGTGCTAAACAATAAAGCTTAAATGCACCTTTGAAGAGAAACTTGTGAGCTGTGACGTGGAGCCAGAAATTAAACACTCTACTCATGGGCACAAAAATCGCCTTGCTCGCTCTGCCAAAACTCGTTGTTCTGATCTATAAGCTGCTGCTATACCAAGCTGATGAAGAAAAGAAGAGCCCTGCTGCGATCGATGAGGATGAAGGATGATCCTTTTGAAGGCCCGCTAATGAAGATTCAAATAACCGCGTTTCGCTGTGGAGGCATAGCTATGTCTGTCCATTTGCTCCACCTTGCAGTCGACGGTCATAGCCTAGTGAATTTTCTGAATTCAGTTCACTGCACAAATTTAAGAGATACTTGTTGAACTAACCTGAAACCTTGTTGAACACATTGTGAGACTTTTCTTCTGCTTCTCTCTCAGGAGAGCTCCCTAAATTATGAGCACCATTCGCCTAATCCGGCATCTGTGATCGAGGCCATAATCAGCCGGCATGATTTGATGGAATATTATATGCGCAGAAGGAGCGCCCACATTCATAGCAACGGGCCTTGAAGTTTAGTCTTTCAGCAGAGAGTGGCAGCATGCAGTTCCTTCCCAGTGGACACTAGCCTTGAGGGTAAGCTCTCCTTCTATTGCCTGCATTGTGTTCATGCTAGAAATGTACAAAGAGGCTTCAAGTCAATTCAAGGCTCAATAGCTAACTGCATATCTTTTAGCATGAAAACTGTAAGAGAGTGATCCCACCGGCCGCGTCGATCTCAAGGTAGTCCAGATACTGGTAATGTTCTTCGCAACGTGAGCCTTTTGTCTCTTTTTCCTGTTCATGTCTTGATCTTGTTCTTTCCAGATCAGCTTACCTGCTGATTAGCTCAACATGATCTGGACCATTAAAAAAGCATGAAATTTGCAATCCTCTTTGTCAAGGGGTTAGAGTGTGCTTGCATCCAAGATAAAGTCAAGATCATGGGTTTCTTTTTGTTTTAGACTAAATGTGATTAATTAGTGGGGGATTAATAATAATCCTAAAGTTGTCCATCGTGAGGGGTGGAAACTTTGGCATCAATTGTGAAAGACAAAATACAAAAAAGGGCTCAGTGAAAAACAAAAAGCAAGTGGTGGTGTCATGGAGAGTAGTGACGACAATATCGACAAAGCCGGTGCCAAGGAGGACAAATCTCCAGACAGTCATGGTGATAAATAGCATTGGAGCATAAGGAGGCTCAAGTCCCTAAGCAACAGTGGTTTCTTTGTGCTCGCTTGTCTTGGTGTTCATGGAGTTCCCTCCACACTCCTCCTCCCTAGTTTAGATGAAGAAGTTTGTGAAAGAACTTTCTTATATTTAAGATTGATGATGTTTTTCAGCTTAAAATGGCCTTGGAGTAGCTTTTAAAGGTGTTATAGTAGTTGCAAGTTCACTCAAAACATATGATATTTATATTTATAGAAATTTTCTTTAAGGCTTTCCATAGTGCATTTTGGTGTAGCCCCCTAGCATCAATATTTCTCTTCTCCCACATTGTCACCTCTCTAGTCCCTAAAGCATAAGTAAGTTTGTATGTAAATTTAGATTGAATTAACTTTCATAACAAGGAAACTCATTCATTAGTGCTAAGTCATATGCATTAGTGGGAGTTTATATTCATAAAAAAAAAACCATCAACTCCACTAACTCCAATTTTTACTTTGCATTGCAATATAGATGTAGTAAAGCCCATTTAATAAATAAATAGGAAATGTAATTGCATTTTGTTTTCACAGTTTTAAAGAACTATCTCTATATAGGATTATCCCATAATATATAAAGGAGTATATTTTTAGGGTTTGTCATAGTGGAGAGTAGAGAATTCTTTTGTGGTCAATCACAATTTTCCCACATTTTTGTGTGTTAAATAAGGAAAGGTCTTTTAAACATGTCTAATTTGTAGATCTAGAGAGAAAAGGGAGAGAAAATGAAGATTTCCCTCTTTTCTTTTATTATGAAGGAGATTCATTGACTATGTCATGTTTGGAGTCACATTCTTGGAAATAAAAGAGGAATTTAAGAGTGGTTTTACTTGCATTGTCTTCCTTAGGTTTAAGGCTTTCTTAGAATTCTAAGAGCACTTCATTTGAAGCAAGGAATTGGGAGATTTGGTCATTTTTTTATGTTGCAATTTTGTGTTTAATATTGTCAAATTTGGGCATTTAGAACTCACAATTTGTCTAACATTTTTAGTGTTATAAATTGGATCTAGAGTGGCATGTCTTAAGCTTTCCTAGGATATATTTCTTGTTAGAATCAAAGGTTATTTGAGCTGCCAAGTAGGGTTTTAGTTTTAGGGTTCTTAGTGAAGCATTGTTTTAGATTTTGGATCTTAGTTTTTTATTTGGCTCAAAATATTAAAGCACAATCTAACGTCTCAAACAAAGAGTTTTATTACATCTTTTGTCACCCAAATCTTTTGCCACTTGATGATTCAATACTAGAGCATATGATTCTTGAGGAGTTAAAACTAGAACAAATGCAAAAGATGCTTCCCTAGCTTGGTATGGTGATCAATCCATATAGTGCCACAATTTTGACTAAAAAGATGCCCGAGTTCATATCAACTAAATAAAAAAGATCCTCCAAATGCTCAATATTACAAATCCTTTGTTATGTTAGGAATCCCCCAATTCTTGCCACATTCTTAACTCTCGCCGGATTCCTGACCTACAAACCACATTTCTGACTTTCGAGACACTTCCCTATTTTTGACTCTCTGATTTCCCGTATGATTCTTGATTCCCAAACCACATTCCTAATGATGATATGGCATCTCCTTGACCTCAGTTATATTTAGGCTGTCCTCAATCCAAGAGTGGTGGAGCTTCATCAACCTATAATATATATAAGTTAGCTTTGTTCCATTTCTCCACAATTTGAATCAATGCTAGTCTAAGGCCTTCTTCATCTCCACTAGTTTTTCTCTTTGTTTTCTACATTTTCCAGTCTTGATCTTGTTAGGGATCTTGACAATTTGATTCAAATTGTGCTTTTTACTTTTGCTTTAGCTCATTTTAATTGTTTAATTGCCTTTGCCTTTTTCCCCCTTTTCTTTCTTTTTTGCCGATGGAGTCTCCAAGCCATCCTGATTCTTTCGTCGAAGTCCTTGCAAAAATCTAATATGAGAATATCAAGCTGAAGGCAGCCCTTCTTCATATGCAACAGGAGCTTGCTTCACTTTCAGCTCAAGGATCAAGTAGAGTTCTTGAATCGAAGGTGAGTTTCCTAGTGAAGTTCTCAGGCAAGCGTTCGGAGCTTCACGGATTCCTGAACCAGATGGAGCTGATCTTCGCACTTCAACATCGGCAGTACCCTACTCCCGAGTCTCAAATCAACGCGATTGGGATGTTGCTCGAAGGTGTAGATTTTTCATGGTTTTCTCCTCTTCTGGAGAAGAGCATGAAAGGGGTTGTGGTTTTAGAGCTGATGGATCTTCAGTTGTTCAAAGAGAAGCTTGAAACATGTTTTGGCGAGACAGATTGGGTTCGGGTTGCCACTACAAAGATGAGACGTCTCTCTCAAGGGTCTCGTCCTACCTTGATCTATGCTACGGCGTTCCAACTCTTTGCCTTGGACACTCAGTGGGATGAGTGGGCCCTAATTGATCAATTTTGTTTCGGCCTCAACAATAGTGTCAAGGATTTGTTGCTCACCATGGAGGATCCCACGGACGTATCGGACGCCATCAAGAAAGCTGTTTGATGTGACAATTGTCTCTTTGAACATCATCAGGAAAGTCGCCGTGCCGCCGTTTTCTCATCCTAGACTCAGGAACCCAACTTGAGTCTTCGGGGCATACTCCTGAACCTATTGCTCTGGTCCCAATGGATATTTCTAGTACTCCCTAACTCATCAAAGGGAAGCTAAGTCCTGCTGAGAAGCAACGTCAAGTATCTCAGAATCTTTGCCTCTACTATGCTGATCCTAATCACAAAGTAGCTGTCTGTCCCAAGAAGCCTCCCTGATTGCTCAAGTTCACTCTACCTCAAGATCCACCTCTATTGCAGTTGGGAAACAACCCTGTCCAAATAGAGTAGGAGCTGTTTGTTTGGACTCCCCAAATAAAAATCCCTTTTCTTCTTTATCAAGCTCCTCACCACCTTTCATCAAAGCCACCACCAATTCCCGCAACTTCCGCATCCCATGTCTCCTTTCCTTCACTAGACAATTAGGACTCAAGGCTTTGGCACTACTAGACTCAAGCATAACTTCCTGCTTCATGGACACGGAATTTGTTGCCTGACATCACGTTCCTCTTTCTCATACCATATGGGATCTGAGGGTTGAAAACATTGGCAGACATTTTGTGTTTCCATCTTCTGGACTTAGGGAAACGTTGTCCGTTCGAGTACACATTGAGTCCACCATCACCGATATTACCTTCAACATCATCAACAACAAGTCCTCCTCTGTGATACTTGGCCTTCCTTGGTTCCAACTGCACTAGCCTCAAATCTGTTGGAAGGAATTACAGCTTGTCTTTCCCACGTCACTATTTCTCACGTCTTCCCCTGTTGTTTATCAAGTCCGAATCAGGAAAAATTCCCTAAATTCAAATCAGGGTTCTATTCCTGACTCTACGAAGTTTTCACCCTCTTTGCTCCCTATCCCTCAATCTTCTTTTCCCTCTCTTCCATCTTACACTAGACAGTATCCTTGACCCATCATTCCATTCAGTCGTACGCTTGCTCCTATTTCCACAATCACTATGAAAGAACTCCTTCACGAAGAACCTGTTTTCCTTTTTACTTTGCATGTTTCTCCTGTCAGTCTTCTTGAGAAGTATCATGATTTTAGGGATGTGTTTGATAAGAAAAAAGCTAGTGTACTACCTGTTCATCAGCCTTATGACTGTCCCATTGATTTACAGGAAGGAGCATCACTTT